TATCGATACTGGTATGGTGGTAGCCCTTTCCTTATGAGGTGGCTTCACTCAATTACTAGTATTCAATGACTCGATACCATCTTAATCCAGCCTATAGGTCACCCCTTCCACTTGTTGGCCCACTCAATCGACACCGGCCCTGTGGTAGCCCTTTCTTTTCTTTGAGGCGACTTCACTTAATTATTAAATTATAATTATAGTCTTACTTAATTGACCTGGTCAAACTATTTGACTTTGGTCAATTGCTCCGATCAATATGTTGACTTTTGACCGTTGACTTTGACATTTGATTATCAACCATTAACTTATGTCTCATCATTTCATTTCTCCTCATTTGTACCTCTAATCATATTCTTTGGGTGTGCTAATCTGTAGGTTCCCTTTAGAAAGGTAGTGGGTTGACTCAACTCCTCAGAGATGATATACGAATTAAATTCCACAATTTAATTCTTCCTATTAATAAAGGTTAATTGAAACCTTTTAGGACATCCACAAACCATGGTTGTCGCCTAGCAGCAAGTCACGGTTATCCGAGCTAAATGAGACGTTGTGAAAGAACCTATTCAAATTGGAATGACCGTGCAATTGAATCCTTCTCTTATGTCAATACTCCTTATTCACATTATTAGATCACGAAATCCGATTGTCAATATCCTAATGTGAATCACTCCTTTTATATGATTATCCTAGTAATATTTGAAGACTTCTTATTTCAAGTCTTATCTACTACTCTGCACAGAGGTTTGACCAATCATATCTTGGAGTATTCTCTCTCTTTTACTGAGAATAGAGATTCTTTGTTGTACATTCTTTTGCTTCCATGACTCTATTGAGAATCCTGATGAGCACCTTTAAGTTATGCCTAATTTAGCATGACCGTATAGTGCCTTCAAAGATTAACAACATAGCCACAAAACATCTATGATGCCTTAGGTCTAAGGATTAGTTTGCACCATTGCAATTTATGAGTTCTAGCTTGGCATGTGAGTAAAGACTTCCATGTTGTAACTCATGTGTTGGATCGCGTTCAGTATATTTGTTCTTCTACAAGCACCTGCACACATATCGATGTGTCTCCACACTTAATGACTTGAGACCTTGTCATTCCCTACATATAGAGACAATACTGTGTGTATTGGTCTTTGTGGAATATTGACGCCCAATCAATATTCCTATGACCAGGAACATATTCAGGATTTAGAGATGATGAGAAGTCTCCATGTATGCAATCTCATTATATAGCTGTCATATCCACTCGTGTATTCCTTGGACTATGGTTGTTCTACATATTGAAAGATAATATAGGATGATTTAATGTATAAAGCAACCTTTCTTGCCCATTGATAACATAATATGTCTTTTATCAAAGATGTCCTTAACTCTAACTATTACATAATTAGTTGGCTTTAAGGGCATATTTCTAACAGATATGTGTTGGGTACATGGGATTGTTGGAAAGAGATTATGGAATGGGATTTGGGTTGTGGTTTATGTTAGTGTGGAGTGCTTTTAGCACTACCCTATGTACCTCCCCAGCACTTGGATACTTGGATTGGATACTTGGTAATATTGGATACTTGGATATGTCAAAACCTGGGCACCCTTGACGGGGTGTTTCATAGACCCTTAGCGGTGTAGTCTGCGCTCGTAGGACTTGTCACAGGCACACGAGTATTGAGGATTCTACTGTGCATGCTGGTGAGCCATTCCCCCGGTTGGACGACTCGTTCCCTAGCCACATCGTCAATTGAGGATTCTTCCATGTGGTCTAGTCAAACAATCGCCCAATTGGATTGTTTCCCCGATACAAGTTTGGTAGTGGTTATATATATATATATATATAGGGTATCCCCGATACAAGTTTGGTAGTGGTTATATATATATATGTACATATACTTTTATTCTTATTTATTTGTAAGGATCCTTCCTCGCTCGCTGTGCCAACAGGCACGCGTTTTGGGTGAGAGTGGTTTTGGAAAAAGGAAGAAGTTTTGAGCAGGTTTGGGGTATCAATATACCATTACGAGATATGGGTTTCACCTTAGTTTTAATTTGACTATATATTTATATATCGGTTTTGAATGCATGTTTGGCTTCGTTTTCCAAACGGTGGGGTTAGTATGTTGTTTTCAAGTATGATAAAATTTTATTTTTGTCCACTCACAAGTTTTCTATTTTGCGCCCCCCAAGCAGTAGCTTGATCTGAGCCAAGCGGCCAAGCCGAGACTTGAACTTCCGAGCCCTGCACTTCTGTAGGGCAACCTTTATTTGTTTTTATTTCCGTCGAACATTTGTTTTCGGTTGTAAACTGAACTTTCTTAGAACTACTCTATTATCCCCCATGTTAGGGTTAGATGTAAGGCCGGAGGCGTACTCTATAAACTGTGTGTTTTTGTATTATGTGTGTTGTCGGTTGGGAATCATTATTGTGTTCTTGACAGGTTGAAAATTTGGAAAAATTCTATTTTTCAGGGGAGACTGTTGAAATTTCAGCAGAAAGTCTCGACCCTCTTTTCCTTTGTTTTGGAGAAGATGATGTTGTTAGTAAGTGGGCTTGGCATTAGATGGATGTAGAAAAAGAAAAACCACAAGGTTCATCACGAATTCCGAGGAATTCAGGGCGGGTCTTGTCATGGCTTCCATGCCACCTCTCATGTGGCCTATTCGCCACTCCCTGGTGTGGCTTCTCTACCACCCTCTAGTGTGGCTTTTGTTTTCCTTTTCTGTCGTTTATTTTGGTGTGTTTTTTATCCTTTGTTTTTCTTGATGTTGGTCCAGATATCCTCAATCTCTTCTCTCCCACTCCTCTACAGCTATTTCACCTATCTCCTCTTCTCCTCTCATCCACCCCC